TTTCATGCGAATGATTTGCCTCTTTGCTCGTACAAATTGCGGTCAAATTACGCGATTCAATTCGAACCAAACGTATCATTTTAATATCCAAAACAATTGAATCGATTTTTGAGTCCAACCGACCAACTGTTGTTCCACAAATTAAACACTTTACTTTTGAATTGTCAATCGTTATATTGTAGAATTCCGACGGCGGACTTACTGCACCTGGAAAAAAGTCAGTTTTTATTCTTCCACACATCGTTCAAGAGCGTTTTCAATGTGAAAAGTTTTTTTTTGGGTTACTCACTGTAGTAAGTATGACCGGCACATTTTTTCTTCTTCACCAGAAACATCGCATCACAATAACGGGCATTTGCATAACACACATAAACATGAAATGACTTTGAACCATACAAAATTACACGCTCCGGACCCTTTTTACGTAAATACCTGAAAATTCAGGGGTTTTAATGTTGTTCTCGAAACTTTTCTTTATGGAATAAATCTCTCCTTCCTTAAAGAATTCGTGTGATCTTAATGAAAAAAATGACATTTTCAAAACTTACTGACGATCGGAACGGCTCATTTTTGTTTTCCTACTAATTTCGAATATGTAAAAAATATTCCCAAAATCAATTTTCACCTTCGAGATTCTAATTTATTAACGACTTTTTTCCATATCTAGTCTAGTCATTACAGAGTACAGAGCTGATTTTTATTCCAAGAAAATAAACTATTTTAGACAAAAAATGTGTAAAAAAAAGTTCCTCAATTGGTGAAAATAAAGAAGAAATCTTTTACTTTAAAACTTTTAAAATACAAGGCTCTCACTTGTTCACTTTTCAAGAACTGCGAACATTGAAAGAAAGCTCTTCTTTTATATAAGAAAATTGGTTGCTACTGTATACAGCAGAAAAGTTTTCTATATATAGAAAAGTAATTGACTTGGACTCTATTAAAGATTCAAGTTGAAGATTTGTACAAAATTCGCCATTTAAATGGTGTAAAAAATCATTTATAACAAGGTGAATAAGTGTCAAATTAAACTCGAACAATTTTCAACTTTTTTTAATTTAAATAAAACTTACTTTAACTACCATACTATGTTATAGCATGTTCTAATTTTAATAAATTGCATATCTTCACACTAAAACTATCATCAATTTAACAAACAAGTGAAATGAAAATCATCAATTTGTTGCATTTTTCCACTTATGCTATTTTTCAATATTATTTCGTGTTGAAAAGCATTCATTATAAATGATCTAATTTTATTTGAATTTCTTCGATAAACTACACCATGTATTAGAAAATCATTTCATTTCTCCCGTCATCCATATCACGAAGACTTCGTTCCATAAGCAAATCTATGGCGGTAGCGATCGGGTTCGAGCAATTGCGAAAGGCTACAGCTGACGACCTATTTCGTATCTATTTGAAACGGTGATGGCGACTTCGTATTAAATAGCTTTATACCGTTCCAATTTCATTAAATTACACCGAAAAAGTGTTAAATCTCCTTCGAAACCAAGCGATTTCCATAGTAAATATTTGTATTGCGTATATTATTGCTATAATTTGCAGTGGACAATCGTCTTGTATGCATTATCGGCATAAATGCAATGAGGGGAACCACACGCATTTTCACAGTCAATTTACGCCTTTTGAATGGAGATCTGCATTTGAACAGTCCGAATTATTGAAGAACATCGTTTTATTTTAAATTGAAAAAAAAGCTCTTTTTTGAGTGATCATATGAGTTTTCAATAAATCTTTTCATCTCAACGCAATTCTCCGTGGAAAATATGGAAAATCAATGTGATGGAAAATATCGAAAAAAAAATTCGTCCGAAATTCTTCGATTTTCATTGAAAATCTAAAGTAACTTTCTGAAAGAAACAAAAAATGTTCAGCCCAGATTCGAAAATGAACTGATTTTCAGTGGTTCAAGGAACCTCTTCGTTTCAATTGGAATTATTCAAATAACCGACTTTTCCGGCGAACCGGACTCGTAAAATGCAGTTCCCCATTGAAATATTGGGGAGTGTAAAATTAATAATTCATCATTTAAACGGAGTCGTCGTTGGTTTTCAGATATACTGCCAGATGTTACTGTATGAGGGTGATCATTACTATCTTTGTTTGTCTCTAATATAATGGCCTTTTTAATACAGATGTGATAACTGAACACATTTTCACTGTCTAAATATTTAATCAAAATATTTCGCGTTTTTTTTTTCATTTTTGCCCCTATAGTTTCGTCTTGTTAAGATTACCGGCGAGCAATCAATGGGGAATGTCATCATACGTTAGAATAACAAACTGATTATTTGGACAGGTAAGTCTCGATATTTTGCATTTCAATGTCAAACTCATTTCGAATAGATGACATTTGAATTTTATGGGTTCAAACGGAAGAAATTCACGTCGATTTATCGAGATGGACGCTCACCGCCAATCGATCTTCAATCCGAAGTCACAGCGGTCGAATCGTATCTCATGAACCAACGTTCATCAGTGGTAACCAATATTTTGAATCGTCGCCAAATTGAAAGCCAATGAAGAATCGGTTAAGCTTTAGTCTTGAGGTTAAAAAGCACTGAATATGGACTGATTTTGCTAAAAATAAATTAAGTTCGGTATATCTCACGAAATCACGATCGCCCCTGTAAAAGGAATATTTTCTCGAAATGAAATTGAAACTCATCAATATCCGGAGTAAACTTTTGTTCAAGTAGGTAGGAATGTTAATAAAACTGTCGATTTCAATTGACAGAGAAACGGAATTATTGACTCTTCTCTGTACAAACCTCCTTCCCAAATCGATTGACAAGTCCATGTCGTTGAGAACGACTCGTTCCATATATAAAGTGAAAAATCAAGTCGAATCGATTCATTGCAGAGATGGTGTTCACGTCATAAAGTAATACTTCTCAGCCTTTGGAGAAAAAACGAGGTATTTTGCAAAAGATAAATTCAATCCAGTAAAATTTGTTTCTAGTATTTTCTCAAAGAGAGATGGGTTCAAAATCCGAATACGTCGAAGCCTTAACATGGAATCGAAATGTATTCCGTCGACTCTACATAAATCGCGATGAGAAAAGTTTCACCGAATCCAATTCGACTCGATTTTTCAAAGCTGTATTCAATGGGTGCATCCATGGCAGTCAATTTTCGATAATAGTTTCGTTGTGTTTCTTCTTACAAATGCACATTCGATCGTTTGAACGTGTTTTGCTCGGTGTGTATGAGATGTGCGTTACAACTAGTGCATACTTTACATTTTGGGCAATATTTCTGTCGCGTAACAAAGTCACCGAGTTTTTCGACGATTTGCAAGAGATTTATGACGAAAGTAAGCAGAAAGATAAAAAATCTCAAAGAAAAGATGAAAAAAATCCAAAGGAGATGCGATTTTCATCGTTTTTAATTGAAATTAAATTTCACCGTTTTCAGATAGAAACGAGAGGTCGTTTTCCGTATTTCTTGAGGCCAATGAGAAAAGTGAGAACAGCACAAAGTTTCTAATGAAAGGTGCACCGACGATGTACTTTTTTTATCAAGTATTTTTGACCCTTTTGAGTCTCTTCATTTGCTATCGAGCCGATGGATACATCGATCCAGCCCGACTATCACTTTATAACCCGTTTAAATTTGTGTATTTTAAAGTCGCACCGGAAAATGTGCAAGAATAATTTCAAAAGCTATTTTTCAGGTTACCTTGGAATCAAAAATCGTTGATTGGTTGCATTGCATCTCGATTGTATGCACTGTTGTTTGGTCAATCGTACGTTATACTCTACGGGGTTTTTAGCTCGTATTTTGTGTCCATTGTTCATCATCATAATGCATTTTACAAACATTATCATGCAATTTGCGAACAAATTAACGAACTGTCGCAACTCGAACATAATGGATCAAAAGGGAAATATACTCTGATTAAGCTCATAAAATTCCATACGGCCGCCAAAGGGTGAGTTCAAAGAAGAAAAAAAATCTGGGTCAAATTTTCATCGGACCACGTCATTAGGCTAAACTGAGTTGATTTTTGTTAAAATCATTAATTTTCGGTTCTTGCAGGCTCTTTAAAAAATCCGCTGACATATTTAGCAGAGCAATCATTATTCAACTGATCGGTGGCACCATTTATGTGTCGTGCCGGATCTTTCAATTGGATGTCACCATTCATAACCGAGATCCAAATGTGCTACTTGTTATTGTAGGGATGAGCGTTGGACTGTCGTATCTTTTCCTATATTGTTACTATGGGAAACGAACTAACGTCTACTATTCTCAAATGGGTCAAAGTTTGTTCGAATCAAATTGGTATCTGCTACCAAATGAACTGCAAAAATTCTATATTTTAATGATTGCCAACGTACAAGTGCCCATTTCATATCATGGTTTGAATGTGGTTGATTTGAATTTGGAACGATTTACAAAGGTGATTTAAGAAAGGAATGGTATTTTTCAATTTTAAGGAAAATTTTACTATTTCAGATTTTAAATACGATTATATCGTATTATCTGGCTTTTAAAACACTTATTATGGGATAATCAAGCTTCGTACACAACTGAGATGAAAAAATGACCAGACATTTTTTGAAATTAAAATCAACTCTAATTCTTGCAAAGGACGTTTTTTTCAATTCACACGAATCTAGTTAAAGTAAAGAGGAACTTACATCCGTAAGTCTATCTTTTCCGCACTGTATCCAAAAACAATTATTACCGAACGAAAATAACAGAAGAAAACTATTCGATTTCTTTTCGAAGATTTATTTCTTTATACATTTGCGTTTTAAGAGTTAAACATTTAGTGGCAAATCGTAGTCTTCATTATCTAAGAAATGAAATAAAACCATTTTTTATTGCAAAACGTCTTTTTCGAATTCAATGTAGCACCAATAGTACTTATTTCACTCGGTATCTTATCATCAATGTTATTCGCATTCACATCAGCGCCATGATCAATCAATAAACTCTTCGTTGTCTGAAAAGTGAATAATAAATTCGATTTAAGCTTGATTATTCTACATTTCAGATGAAAGTGACTTTACATTTCCTATAAGTTTTCGAACATTCTCTTTCTTCCATTTATTAAGGCAATAAATTCGGTTTTTGCTTCTTTTCGATTCTCTATAAAATTAAATTAAACAGTTTCGAAAAAAATTGTCTCTATTAAATAAAATTTAAAATAAATCATTACCAGTAACCATTTCACGTGGTGTTTTATTATGTTTTTCTTTTGCATTTTCATCTGCTCCTTTACCAATCAAGACCTCTTGCACTTCTTTATTGTCTGAAAAGTGAAAAGAAATTCTATATTGGAAATTCTCAATGTTTATTTTGAAATGTTTGGAATCACCTGCAAAGTAAGCCAAATGAAGAGGCGTAATCATATCTCTACCTATAGCATTGACATCAACTCTTTGTGCGATCAGATATTCAGCTAATTCCTTTGTACCTGAAACATTGATCGAATGAATTTAATACGTTGGCGCATTGATCATAATATTAATTATTTAAATAATGATTATTACCAAGAATGGCTGCGAAATGTAAAGATGTGAAATTCCATTTGCCTTTTGCAAGAGCGTCCGCTCCATGTGCAATTAGACTTTTACAAGCGTTCAAATTGTCTGAAATGTTGATCAAACAGACAAAGTATTTGAATTTCATTTTTATTCTTCAAAAATTTAAAATTATACCACCCATGGCAGCCCAGTGTAAAGGTGTTAATTTCAAATCATCTACAGCAGTTACATTCGCTCCATTTGCAATTAAATATTCAACCATGTCATTTGAACCTGAAACATTAAGCGGATGATCACTGATTACTTATTTGCTTGAATCCACTTAAATAAATTCGATTTTCTGAATATATAGGCAATTACCGTATTGAGCGGCAGAATGGAGTGGTGTAAACTTTAAGTAGTCCTCAGCATTCACGTTCATTCCATTTGCGATTAAGATTTTGCATATTTCCAAATTATCTGAAAGTTAATAAAGTTGATTAGCTCATGTACGCATATGAGAAATTGTTTATTCAAAATTGTGTAAAATTACCGAACATTGTTGCCATATGAAGTAAAGTTGTACCGTTGGACTAATAACATCATGCTAGTAAGATAGTTATTACTTATTACTAATAATTTCTAATAACTGTTAATACTAGGGGGGAGACACAAACGATTAAACCATGATTCCAATATAAAAACACTAATCCTACTATTCCACCAATCCGTCATTTCATTGTCAAATGTGATGTCACATTTCGCCGGTATTCACTTTGTTGAAAACTTATTTATCGACACTGGAGTATGACATTTTTTTTTATTGATAATTGAAATTATTTTTTTCATCAATAAAATTTTGAGAAAGTGTATCTATTGTTTTGTAAATTTGTAATCGACTTTTGAACTAAAAAATATTTCAAAAAAGAACAAATTACTATTTCAAAAAAAGTTTAATGCCTTTATCAAATTCTGTACTATCGATTACAAAAACATTGAATCTAACCCATTTTCGCTATTCCATACATGGGATTAGTGAATCCATGTGAATCCAGCTACTGAATTCTCTATTCCACTTTAATTTCTCGAATTTTTACACTAAAAGTCTAATCCTATTCCACGTGTCTACCCCCTAGTGTTAATAAGATGTCATCTTATTAGTGTAATAAGTATAGTAATAAGTATAGTTATTAGAATGTTACTAGTCAGAAGACTAATAAGATGCATGTATCTTATTAGTATAGTTATTAGTATAGTTTCTCATCAGTATATTTCGATTGGTGTTACTAGAAGCAAATACTACTGAAACACGAAAAACAGCAGAAAGGCAGTCAAAATCA